CTATGAGCTTGTATTAACCCTGATTAAAACCCACCCACTTTATCTGACTGTGCCAGTGTCCTCCTTTCTCATACATCTTCCCTGACAGTAATCAATGTAATATTTAACTATAATTTGCAAAATGTGATTACTATGGTCAATACGCACAAAAAGACATGTTAGTTTTTTGTTATAGAGATGACTGTAGGAAGCAGGAAGGAACATGGTACTTAAATTGAATTGTTCAGATTAACTAATCTGCTGTATAAAGAGGTTATTATTTACAATATTTTGGAAGGGAAAAGCTCATAGAAATCCATAAATTTAATCTATTTATCATTATACAGTACATTATATAGTCATATGCAAAATACATATATATATATTTGCATTTAATTTGGCGTTTCATCAGTAGCACTGAGAATGGTACTGGGTTTAAAGACGATATGATCTTTGCTCCACACTTCAATTCTCCTAACAAAATCCACAGTCATACTTAAGCAATTAGATAATGTCACTCGCTACAGATGATTATTTGCTGTCCCCTGACTAATAGAAAAACACTGCTCATGATAAGGATGACGCAGCAAAATTATTCATGATTTGAGTCAGATTCTTGTAAAATATACATTAGGAAAAACTCATGGTCATACAGAAAAGCAACAGTCAAAAGGAGAGCAGCATTTGAATTATAATGCTACTGTCATGTCCAGCCCTGCCCTACTTGGGCATGGCTGCTAATTAGTCTTACCTCTTGTTCCTGCCTTCTTGTTAACCAGCCACAGCTGCCTTGTGTTTACTCCTTTGTTAGTTATATCTGTTAGTGTCTCTTAGTGCTGTACTCCCTGTTCAGTCATTGTTCTCTGTCTCCATGTGTTCCCCTGCCTGTTTCCCCTCAATAAACTCCCCTGTGAGGGGTTTCTCTTGCTCACAGCCTGCATTTGGGTTGTCTTTCTCCCTTCACGACGTGACAGAATTACTGAACCTCAACCCCGTGGCTGTTCTCCACCCAGAGGAAATGTCTACCTTTGTTCCTCGGCTGATTCCAGGCAACCCCCACCTCTGTGACCGACAGTGATACTGGCTCAACACTGGAGCAGAATCTGCAGCCATTTCCTTGCCAGTTCCTGTTCCTGCTCCAGAAAGGAACAAAATGAAAGATGCTTCATGCTCTCTCCCTGGAGTTCTGTAGGAGCTCCTCAAAGATTCCCAACTGCAAGAATTGCCCGAGCTGGTCACCTTGCTACATCATATAGATTGGAGGTGATCTCCTCAGCCTCCACTTCACCAGCGGGTGAAAGAGACAATTCCACCTGATGACTTGCTGCCAACCTAGAGGCCTCCACTTGAGTCGCCCTCCCGCCTGCCAAGTTTGCCCTATCCAATCGCCTGCTCCATCGCCCAGCCCCTCGTCGGAGTTCACCACTCTGCAGCTGGGCTCCCTCCCAGAGCCCTTCACAAGATGACTGGTGGCCACATTATCAGCATCTTCTGCTGGCCACCACCAGCCCTGTTCCTGACACGCTCGCAGGCAATAACTCAGAGTCAGACCCAAAGAAGAAATTTGAGTGGGATACTGTGGGCATGGTAAACCACACCAGCCCCTGACTCTGAAAATGCCCCCAGTACTGGTGAAAGTTCCGAAAAGGGGCGGGCTGAGTCTGTCTCCCATCAAGGGAGACGGAAGCACACCATCTGTGGCAGCCAGGCCACTTCCAGCTCCTGCCCTGCAGACCCCCCAGGACCCTCTTGTCCCAATTCCTGTCCCCTTCTCTGCTCTTGCCTGACAGGTCCTGTGGCATCCATGGGTTCTGGCCTAGAAGTCCCGGCAGCGCGCCCTTGCCCTGTGGTGCCGGTGACACCCCACTGCTTGGCAGTTCCTGCAGACCCCACCTGCTATGGCCCTGGTTCCTGCCCAGCAGTTCCTTCCTTGTCCCTTGGTCCTGGTCCAGCTGTACCCTTAACATCCTTCTGCTCCTGTGCTGATCCCTGCTCAGTCTCCTGCCTCGGTTCTTGTCCTGATCCTGGCCTTATGAGTCCCAGGACATCACCTGGCCATGTTGACTGCACTGTGCTGCCCGACCCCACAGATCCACCAGCGCCAAGGAGGACACATGAAATAGGACCAATGCCCAGCATCCTGAGATGCCCCCCAATCTCGCCTCACTCTCTCTCGCCTCAAGTATTGCCCTTCTACCCTTTCTCATCCTGGTTTTCCCCTGGTCCGTTTTCCCTGGGATCCGCCCTTGTCCCTGTTCCTGTGGTTCCTCCACATGTCTGTCTTGTCTTTGTCCTCTTGTCTGTCCAATCTGTTGTCCATTCAGTCCCTCATCCTGCTTCTGTCCATCCCCTAGTTTAAGGAACATCCTGTCTTCTCACGTGATGTTGCCTGTTGGGTGTCCCCTGCAATATCTTCTGTCACGTCTTTGGTGTAGTCTGCCCAGTCCTGATCTCAGTTCTGTTGTGTCTCCCCAGGTCTTCAGTCCTGAGAGTCTGCGTGTCTGGTGTGGAACCCTGTTTATCATCCCATGTCCTGTCCCCTTTTGCCCATCTTCTCATCCGATCCCTTGTGTCCCCTCCCCTGCTTGTTTGCCGTGCCTGGATTATGCACCTAAGGGGGGTTAGGGGGGTATTGTCATGTCCAGCCCTGCCCTGCTTGTCTGCTCCCTGCGGTTCACTTAGGCATAGGTGCTAATCATCCACACGTGAAGCTTGTTAGTCTTACCTCTTGGTCCTGCCCTTTTGTAAACCAGCCACAGCTACCTTGCATTTACTCCTCTGTCAGTCATGTATATTAGCATCTCAGTCTTGTGCTCCCTGTTCAGCTGTTGTTCTCTGTCTGTGTGCCTCCCTGCCTGTTTCCCTCAAACTCCCCTGTGAGGGATTTCACTTGCTTACAGCCTTTGTTTGGGTCGTCCTTCTCCCGCCACAATGTGACAGCTACAACAGGGCAGACACGTAAACACTCAGAATGGGGAGGGGGTTTAGCTCCCTAAAGCTGTGCTCTGCCTGTAAAGCAGTTTGTGTTGAAATGGTTTGGTAGGGTGCCATGCCGGAAAGAGACAGGGAACAAACTGTAATGCTTCTTTGTTGCTATTGCTTGTTCACTTTGGAATGATTCCCTGTCATTTATCAGTCATAAATGCCCCTGTGAGGCTTGGACAGCAAACGCATAAGAAGCTTCACTACAGCTAAGGTGCCCTTCAGCAATGTCCTTATTTCACAGTAATAATAATTCAGTAAATAACAAACTGTTTATATGAGTTAAGACGGAAATGGATGAAATTTGCAGCAAAAACAAAGTTAAACATCTATGCTCCCAATGATTAATGTATTCAGACTTTCCATCCATCCATTATCTATACCGCTTAATCCATCTGGGTCGCGGGGAAGCTGGAGCCAATGTATTCAGACTTTTGTCAGTAAATACTTAATATTGCGATAGTGTGAATCTTTTGCTTTAGAAAAAAATCTGTTACTTAAAAAACAAGCTCATCTGGAAAATTCAAACATGCCAAGAAATGATCAAAACAGAAATATATGTATTTATGGCTCGGCACTGTACTAAAAGATAAGGCAGTTTGTTCACAGTTCCCACACCCTGCACTAACTGTAATCTTATCATTAATTATATTATTATTAATTATTTCCTTGGAAGTAATAATTATGGTTATTTTTGTCACTAAAGTCCTTTCATGTCCGGGCTCTTCTTGTTCTTGCTAAACTTTCTGGTAGACATCTTGGCAGTGGCTCACCCAGCATGCCCAGAAACCCAAGTTTATACCATGAGCAAAGCCTGTGGGTGTGGGGATGGAGGTTTCCTTACCCACACTGCTGAGTGCCCAAGGATACAGCACAAAGGCCCTCCTGGAATTTTCCATTCACTACACTACATGTGGCCAAAATATTTTCCTGTGGCTGACTCCTTCATGATCTAATCACCTAATGTTATGGATGAGAGTTTGCGTGTGATGATGTAGAACTTTAAGTTATTAAATGTAATAATTTGTGATGTTTATGTTTTAGCTACTGAAGGTGATTGTGTGTGATCAATAAAGTTTCTTCACAATACACCTCTCTGGTAGCCAAAACACATATCACTGGATAGCAGAAGGAAGTGAAATTATAGTAATTCTTTGTCATCTGTGAGAGAGCAGTGTGCGAAATGCATATTTCTTTACTATTAGGCATTTCATGTCTGTCATTGTGTTGAATAAGTCAAACCAGGGCTGAATACAGTACAAACTGTAGGTATTCTAAGGAAACTGCTGTCTCTAAGAAATAGCTGTGATCTGTTCTAGGAAGGGACCCTACTGTTATAGCAGTGCAAAGAACCTTCACAGAATTGATTTTGTGAAGATATGCCCACCTGTCTAAATGTTTAAGCATGAAATTGCAAGTTATGGAAATCACTTTAAATAAAACCATCTGCTTAACAAACATAATTGTAATGTAGTTGTCCATGTGTGTGTAGGACACAGAGTATGCGGTGTAATTTCGTGCCTTCCCTGTATAAACAGTGGGTTGTTTACATTGTAGGATATCACAAATACCACTGAACTTTGGCCATCTCAATTTGTTAGCCTAAGAAATCATTAGCTTGTATTTTTATGTTTACCCTGTCTCTGTTTTTATGGTTTATTATTGTTTCATTGCTATTGTATTTGTTTATTAAATATAAAAAAACTATATATACATTTATAAACCAGAAAACTGACGAGGTTACTGTCATAATTATGGTATGTGTGAGTGATATGTTTATTATATATATATATATATATATATATATATATATATATATATATATATATATATAGCTGTGAAATATTTTTGTAGGCTTCAGGAAAAAAGAATAATAGTACCAGGTGTAATCTTTATTAGGAGTCATGTGCTTTAGAACTCACTGACGCGCCTTTATTTTGACCTGCCCCCGAACCTGATTGGTGAGTTTGAAGCCACATCCGATTGGTGGATTTTAGACGAATCCCGATTGGTGGGTGTGCAGCCGACGCCTTCTCATGACATGCCAAGTCGAGAGACGCCCCTCCAGTCGGCATTTCAGTTCGACGTCACAACTGCGAGTCGCGCATGCTTTACCGCGGCTTCTGGGGTTCTTTCAGAGGTGCCGGGCGTTCCGGGTATAAAAAACGCTGCGGTCCGGCCCTGAGCATCTAAAGACGAAGCGTACATGAAAGATACTATGGCAGCCTCTTCCGATAGAATCATGCTTGGTCCTCTTGTGGCGGCTATTGATCAAGGTACCAGTTCCACGAGATTCTTGGTGAGTCACCGAGCATAATCCCGGGCATTTTTGTTTCATTGTGTTCTTCATTGCTACTGAGTGTCCTTTAAATAACCCTCTCATTGACGAGAGGGGTGGTCTTAACCCGCCGGTTACTGGGCTGGTTATAGACATGTGCTGACAATATTCAGTTCATTATATAAATGTTTGGAACCCATTGATCGTATTCGATTACTGTCCCCTGCAGTTTCCTGTCATTCTGTTTATATTCACAAACTCGTATGCGGGATAAAATGGCTTACATTTTGTTTTCAACTGGAATATTATCCTACTCTGATGTATGTCTGGTGCAATTCCACCAAATTTAAGTTGTTAATTTTTACCCTTTGGCATTCACGCTGTGTAACATGTGTACCTATTGCATTCTTCTTTATCCTGTCGTTGCGAGTCTAGCAGGACATCAAGCTGAATGACCGGTTATAACTTGCTTAATTTTCTGGTCTGAATTGGCACTTATATTCGAATTGGGATGAAGAACTTGCTCAGTGCTGTTTATTTTCAAGTAGTGCATTATCATGCACGTCTAATTAGTCTGCCAAGTTCTGGCCCTACTGTTTCATTCTTACTGCCTAAATGGTGCTTTCATAAAACACACAACCTTGGCTTGGTCATTGATGCCTTCCCAGTTCGTTTTTCCTAATCCCCTTTTATAGCTCTCTATACAGATGGTATAAAGCAATAGTTCTAGACCCTTTTTTTAGTATATCCAGTAGTGACAGTGTGGGTTGCAACTTGCAATATGACTCCTACTAATGCTCATATTAAATATATCTTGTGTCCCCTTTTAAATGTGAGGATAACTCTAATCCAGTGGGTTCTTCACCTGTATTGGGTTCTCAAAAGCTCTGGAACTGCTAATGGAAAAGCGTTATGTTGTCCAAGCTCTGCGTTATGGAAAGCTTTGCTGCTCTCCTCTGGCTCTCTCAAATGTGATGTGTACGAAAGAGTCTAATGACCTAACTTGGCACGCGAGAGTGCTGGACCCCAGTGGGGTCGTGACAGTCCGGTGACGTGGAGAACTGCCCTGACCTCAGCTGCTATCCAAACATCAATGCTAGTGGCACGGTCTCGGTCAGCTGCCTGTGGCCATTTTTTCCATGTCTGTGGCAAGTTGCTTTTTCTATAGCTGTGTGATGTTCCTTGTGCTCCGTGTTATTTCCATGCCTCAGAGTGTATCCACTGTAATCAGATGGTTGCTAGTTCAAACCCCAGTCAGCAGTGTTGGGTTCCTGGGCTAGACCCTTAACCCCAGTGTTGCTTTGCATAAAAGCACCAGCCGAATGGCACCTGTGACATGATTGTTGCTGGTTTTTGTACCAGGAGCTACTGGTCTTAATGGCCTTGATTCCCTGAGAGCTGCTGCGCTGTTTAAAAATATTAAACACAAAACTGTCCTCTGTACAACGCAGATTAGGTGTATACTTGCAGATTCTCAATGGTTCTTGTTTCTCAGTTATTTATTCCTGCATGTTAAGGAATCTTTTACAAGAGAAATTCTATTCATTGCCAAATATTTTCCAGGCCAGGGAGGTGGATTGGGAATGGGAGGGGCCCCTTGTTCAGCAAATGGGGCAGTATAGTGGTTTGGGTGGGGCAACCAGAATGATTAGCCCAGCTGACAGTGTAGGTGTAATGGCCAGCTTGCTGTAGGGGTTAAGCAGGTTCACCCACATCGTTAGAGCAGTTTGTCTACTGACTTTGATCTTTAATTCATTTTTAACCTTCATCTCTTAAGTACCCAGTGTCCTGTATGCATAAGCAGCCTGGACTTCTGACTTACAGAAGCTAGATCTTCGACAAGCCACATTAATGATCCAGTTTTTCATAAACCAGTTTCAGATTAGCTGTTAACCATATAGACACGCAGCAGCTTCTCTTCAAATGGGAAGAGTCTTGCCTCAAGGCTTCATTACTTATGACATCTCTAGTTAGTAGTTAGTCAGCTGATATAGTCTCTCTAAAGTGAAGACAGGGTGTGTTGCTATACTGTGGGTTTACGTTTGGTGAATTGGGTCTGATTGGAAATCATGATCTCTTTAATTTTTATGTTCACTGCTCTCTCTCTCCGTACCTTTTCAGGTGTTTAATGCCAAGACAGCCGAGCTCCTCAGCCACCACCAGGTGGAGATCAAGCAGAGTTTCCCAAAAGAAGGGTGAGCACTCTTCCCACAATGCCTTGCAACCGCACGCCGTGTCTGCCGTTTTTTTTCTTGTGAGCTAAGACCAACATCGGATTCTGACTCTCATGGGCTGGAGCCTCTTTGATGTTTGGTTTTCTGTTTACTGGAATCAGTAATTTAAAAATTACCTTTATTATAATAAGCACTTCTAACAAATTTAGTCTAACAAGTATAATTTTATGATAACCCAGACAATTTTAAACTGTGAATAAGAGCCGGGTTAGGCACTTTGCGATGGGTTGGCACCCCATCCTGGGTTGTTCCCTGCCTTGAGTCCATAGCCTCCAGGATAGGCTCCGTACCGCCCGTGACCCAGAATAGGACAAGTGGTTACGGAAGATGGATGGATGGATGGATGGATGGAGCCTGGGTGGGACTCACACACTGTGTCTCTTGGCCAGATGGGTGGAGGAGGACCCCAAAGAAATCCTTCATTCTGTGTATGAGTGCATGGAGAGAACATGTGAGAAGATGACCCAGCTCAACATCGACATCTCCAACATTAAAGGTATACCAGTGTTCATATGCTGGGAGGAGAGGGGGCAGGGGGGCACCCCAGCCATTCCATACTGTATGTTTCACCATCAGCTCACTTAATTAATGAACTTAATTATTTCAAAAACGTTGTGAGGTATTGATTAGTCAAACATGGTGTGTTAGTGGGCGTATTGGATGGTTGTTGCAAATACAGGAGTTACTTTAGAGAGATTTTGAAACACTCCGATAGACAGAGTTTTACACCAACATTAAGACCATTTAGACGTAATTTTCTTTGACTACCTAAGACTTTTGCACAGTACTGCACATGTGTGCGTCTGTCTAGCAGATCACAATGGGGTTTGCCAAAGCTACATTAGTTTCTCCATAATAGTGCGTAATGTATCTTTTCTATTCCTGTTCCATGTCAGTCTGTGGTCATCCCTGTTGTTGTAAAATACAGATTTTTCACAATAAGCATGTACACATTAGCTAAAGAGTTGTTTCGTTAAGGGTTGTATTAAATTGTTGCCTTTTTAATTACCAGCAATTGGAGTGACCAATCAGAGAGAGACCACGCTAATCTGGGATAAGATGACTGGAGAGCCTCTCTACAACGCTATTGGTAAGTTCTGGTCTCTTAGAATTGGTGTCCTTTGGAGAAGCATAAATGGGTGAGCCCAGAGCTGGCCACACCTCCTGCACTGCCCATGATCCCATCTGATGCAGCATGATGAACTGCGGGGCCTACTTGTTGCTGCTTAGTCACCTTTCCACAACGTCGCCATTTCTCTCTTGCTGTGCTGAGTCACATGACTTTTGACACATATCATCATTAGAACTGCCTTGTAGGGGTTACTGTGCTATTCTATGTAGTGCCTGTCCCAGTCTGGATACCGCAATTCATGCATTATAATAAAAATGTTGATATGTAGATGTGGCAGACCATGAGAGAAACCATAAACTCTGTGTGTGTGTGTGTGTGTGTGTGTGTGTGTGTGTGTGTGTGTGTGTGTGTGTGTGATATGTTTACATTACATTGTGGGGACCAAATGTCCCCTGCAATGTAATAAAAACCTGTTATTTTGACGTTGTGGGGACGTTTCAGGTCCCCACAAAGATCTGTGACGGCAATCAAATAGCCTATTTTGTTTGGTTACTTATGGTTAAGGTTAGGGCTGGGTAGGGGTTAAGGTCGTCATGTTGGGATTAGAGTTTTCCCCATAGAAGTGAACACACACTTGAGTCCCCACAAAGATATAATTGTGTGTGTGTGTGTTTGTGTTTGTGTTTTGGGGGGTGCTCCCTGCTGTCCACATACTTGCATAGTGAATACACGAACGCTCTCTCTCCATGACAGGAGAGAATGCCTGCTCACAGGAAAATAGTATAGCCTCATTGAAAACCTGATTAAGTCTGTGGGGGCAGTAGCTCAGTCCATTGGCTACACTGAAAGAGGCTGTGCTCTGATACCATCTCTGAGTGTGAAAGCCGCCCTCTGTGACGTTTCCTCTAGCAGTGTCTTGTACTTGTGGTCTGTGTCACGAGATCTCGCAATATTACAGCATGACGAGATTTCTCTTCAGAGTGAATAGTGGGCTTGCGAAGGCACTTCAAATCAGCTGCTGTAAGCATGTCGGCGTCTGACGAAATTACCATAGTAGATACCCCAGACACTTTTGTATGGCAGCATTTTTGGTACCTGGTGGAAAATATAAATGGTGAAAGGGTGACAGAAAACACGAACCATCTGTAAGCATTGTAGGATTTTTTTTACTTAAATCCACTGCACCGGTGAAGAAAACATTGTAAAACATTTTATGTTTGTTTATTTATATTGTTTTATTCATATTCTATTTTATGTTCAATTGAGAAGTTAAATAGGAGAGAAGCCTGTCATTTGAGTTTGTGGTGAAATATTTTATGGTGCTAGATATTTGTTCTGTTCTTTACTGCATATGATGATGGTGATTATTTAAAACTTTTCACCATACATCTGCATTATTTAGAATTTTTTGTCTTTCAAATTAATCAAAGGGGCTGCTTTCCAGTAATATATTTCCTCTTTGAAGTTTTTCCTTTAAATATTGTTAAAATATAGTCTCGTCTCATTCTCGTGAACCCAATACCGCGTCTCGTCTTGTCCCGTGGGCTGAGTATATCGTTACACCCCTAGTGGTCTGCATGCCTGAGTCCTGACAGGCCTTGGGGTTTAGCGGGACTCTCCACCGGCATGTGCAGCTGTTGCCTGAGCACATTCTACTCCCACACTCACAAGGCTGTGTCTTATGTCACCGTTAACTCTTTAATTTCTGGCTTCTGGCAGTGTGGCTTGACCTGCGCACACAATCCACTGTGGAGCGGCTCATCAGCAAGACGCCTGGGAGGAACAAGAACCATCTGAAGGTGAAGCTGCTGGAGTGCTGGCCGCTACCCATCTCAAAAGATGGTTATAACTACAGACTGATCCCTCTCTCTCTCTCTCTCTCGCTCTCTCTCTCCCCTCCCTCCTTCCCTCCAGCATAAAACAGGCCTTCCCATCAGTACCTACTTCAGCGCGGTGAAGCTCCGGTGGCTATTGGACAATGTCCCTGAAGTCCGAGAAGCTGTCCAATCCGACAGGGCCATGTTTGGCACCGTTGATTCCTGGTTGATTTGGGTGCGAAATGGACTCCGTTTTTTATTGTATTCAATGTTGTATACTACAGTAGGCCCCTCTGGAACTGAACCCTCAGTTTACTGGGTTTGTGATGTCCCCACAGAGTCTGACGGGGGGTAAGAGTGGGGGGGTTCACTGCACTGATGTGACAAACGCCAGCAGGACCATGCTCTTCAACATTCACACCATGGACTGGGATCCAGAGCTTTGTCAGTATGTCTCACTGAGCTGTACCTGTGACACAGCCTGTGTGTGTGTGTGTGTGTGTGTGTGATACAGTGCATTTTTATTTTCTGCACTTTTAATTTTTGATTCTTTTTTTCCTGCTCTGTTTTGTCATTGTCTGTCTCCAGACTGATGGGGCTCTGACTGTCACCCAGGTTAATTTGACCTGTTCACTTAATATAATGGCCAAATAGTGCTTCACTTTGATTACAGCACACAGGTTCTTTAAATAAATGAGAAGTCAGTCATTCTGTTTTTATTTTTTACCCACCTTCCTGTTTTTTTTCCCCTGCAGATATTTTGATATTCCAATGGAGATTTTGCCAAAAGTGAGAAGTTCCTCAGAAATATATGGTTTGATGGTAAGCTGTAGCCTCCGTGACTCTCACAAGCCATGAACACACTGTTACACATTTATTCAACCTTGAGCTTTATACAGTGCCAGTCAAAAGTCTGCACATGTCTACTGAATATCATTTGTTTTTCAACAAGATAACTAAGGTTATGTAAGTACTATCTTTGGGAATAAGGAAATAGAGGGCTGCAACACATGACCTGGCCCCCACAATATCAAACCAGAAAGAGCTGGTTTGGGATGAGTTTGATTGAAGAGTAAGAGCAAGGTAGCCAACTTTTGCCCAGAACTTGTGAAAACGCCTTCAGGACGGCTGGAGAAGCTTTCCAGGTGGCTACAAATGGAAGCTGGCTGAAAGATTGCCAAGAATCTGCAATGCTGTCGTGGAAGCTAAAGTGAGCTGTTAGGTGTCTAAAATTTGAGGAAATTATGAGATGATGAGCGTTTCTCTCGGATGATGCAATTTTTGTGTTTCACTTCATTGCCTTGATATCTCTTATTATGAGGTGAATCGCTGAAATAGAGACAGATGTATTGTAAGCAGCTGGGTCCAGACTTTTGACTAGTACTGTAGATGCATACAGTTTGTCTAAACTCATGTGGCAAAGCCATAACAGTGGGTGAGGATGTGTTTACAGTGATAATTGTGTGTCAGACTGTCTTTTATTGCTGCGTATTTGTATCCTTTGGAGATCGTTTTGGTTAGAATTCATGATCATTGCTGTGTTTAAGGGATCGAGGGATATTAAGCCCTTTTGGAATATGCGGCTGCCTTTCAGACGCTCTTGGTCCGTGTGCAGTTCGGCACCAGAGTGGTGTCAGTGTTATGGGCACTCGCACTCATTCCTGTTCTGTTGTCTCTCTCTGCTTACTGGCAGAAAATAAGCTCTAGTCTGGTGAGTAGGTCTTCATCGTTGTTACAGTCATCACCATTGCCACCATGAAAAGCATGTCCCGGTCCTCCTCTTCCTCGTTTTGTAACCGGACTGATACAGTCAGGAGCAGAATGGAAAGACGGAGCCTAGAATACTCTTTAGCCGTTGTTTATGCATTTGGAAATCTGCAACTCTTAACAGACTGGCATCGGTGCCCCTCCTGGGACTTGTACCTTCAAGCCTTTCAGACAAAATTAGTTCCCTTAAGCACTGAGCCACCTGAGGCTGATGGTGTTTCTTTCCACTGGTAGTTTTGTGGTTCTGTTTTCTGTACTCAAACGTAATTCAAACATTCAGGCATCCCTGCTGTAGGGTCAAAGTTCATGCCCTGATTTGCCTGCTGTTTCTGAAATACAGCCTGTGGGGCATTTAAAGCACTTAACAGTCACATGACAAGCAATGTGAAGCCATGATTCGCCCAGTGTGTGGATCTGTGAAGTTCAGGCCTCAAGGGCCTTCACCACACTCTGTCTTCTCACTCCATGGGAACTTGTTAAATGTTGCAGATGTAAATCATCTGTAGGGGGGTGTGCCTCAGCTTTGCCGAGTCCACAATGCACGCCTCTCAGAACAATGTTCACCTGAATTGTGATGCCGTGGCAGTAGCACTGATGAGAATGGGCGACCTGTGTAGAAACGCATAGTGACATCATTTGCATGGAGCTGCGGGTCATATAACCTACCTTTGACCCCTGCCGGCTTTATCAGGTCTGTTGCATTTGTTATCCTGCTTATTTATTGGTTTGTTCAGTAGACATCATCTTAAGAACTTGCATAATTTAATTGTAATTTTTTTACAAGAAGATACTTGCCAAAATCCTCCAGGGGAGGTATCTTTGTGAGGGCTACCGTAAAGGACAGAGCTTATCTGTGTGAAATGCCCCAAAAACTGCACAATGGTGAGAATAGTGCTTGTTCACACCTCAGATGAGGATTAAAAATAGTATGTCTATGACAAAATAAGGCCGTCCCTGCTAGAATTCCCAACATAAATGAACAGGCTCTGACCAATGAGAAGGGAGCATTTTGGTGGCTATGGTCATGCAGAAATGCTGTTGTCCCACGCATTCTCTAGCCTTAAAGAAAGCTTGTCCACAGGCCCTGTCACCTGTGAACCTGTCGCCTTGTTTGAATGTGGTGCAGATGGTGGTATATGGTGTCCATTTCAAACACATGGGTCTTATGGGAAACAAACCACCCCTTTTATTTTTTCAATTGCTTGTGTGTGTGTGACTTCACTGTAGAATATTTTATGGCTTGAACAGGCCTGAAATATGAAATGGGTTTTTGGCTGTGTGGGTGGGTGCGGTTCACTTGCTGTGGGCTTGTTTGCTGCTTTGCACTAGTGATATAAGTAAGGTGGTCCTCTGCTCACCCATCTTACAGTACATACTGTGTCGTCTTTACAGAAATCAGGCTCTCTCACTGGGGTGCCCATATCTGGGGTGAGTGCCGTGTTATGCTGTTCTTATCGCTTCTAGGACTCACAGTACTAGTGCTGCAACACTACAGAACTTGCTATATGTAATGCCACACTGTAGAGGGAGCCATACTATACAGGCCAGTAGAAAACTACAGAAGCTGTTGCCTTAGTGCTGTAGTACAGAACATACCAGGCTGTGAAAAGGACTGTCCCACTGCAGAAAAGTATTCCGTGTAGATGTGTATCATTCTTCTTGAATGTGGCAAGGGAACATGCCCCCACTAAGCATCCCCCACTGGTGCTGTCCCACAGTGCCTGGGGGACCAGTCTGCTGCTCTGGTGGGACAGATGTGCTTCCAGGATGGACAGGCCAAAAACACGTGAGTGCTCTCCTGGCTTCTCTATGGAACGGTACAGACACGATTTCCCAGAATGCATCGGTCACTTCATCGTTTGATAAAACATAAGATATTGCCTTTTTTCAGGTATGGAACTGGTTGCTTCCTTCTCAGAAATACAGGCCTAAAGGTAATTTCGTCTCTCTTTGCAGTTTAAATCCTACTCTGAAAGGATAAATGAAATCACTGTAGAAATCTGAAATTTCCAGAACCTTGTAGCATTTTACCAGTTTAATGCAGGTGACTGAACATGGCCTTTTAACATATTTTCATAGTTTTGATCAGTTTTATAGAGTTCAGTTTGTTCTCCCCCAGCTGTTAGAGGAGTTACGATAATAAAAGCTCTGTTTGTGAGGTACATCACCTACCCGTCCTGGATCAGTATGACGCTATTAGACTGGGAGAAAAAGCTGTACTTTTGTTTTGTTTTTTTTTAGCTGCTGATAAGTACAGATGGCTGACAGTGTAATGTATTCTGCTGTGTCATGCAGCTAAACTGTGTGTGCAAATTTCCACTCAACCAGCAATCTATTCTTGGACCAGCTCAGCTGGTGAAAATTTGCAGTGATTGCATTTCAAAGAATATTATATTGACACATAAAAACTGGGGCAGACTCAGTGATTCAGTAAGTGGTCCTTGTTATGAAATGTCTGCTTGATCTCTGGTTCTGTCATATAGAGATTTTGAGGTGCAGGCTAAGCCAGGCTTTTCCTTTGGTGTCTTCATGTCCATCTGTAACGCGGGTCTGTCTTCTGCTTCCCATAGCCGGTGATGTCAGAGCACGGCCTCCTGACGACGGTGGCCTACAAGCTGGGGAGAGATAAGCCGGCCTGCTATGCACTTGAGGTACGAGCATCTGCATTAGCCTCAGCTTTGTGGAATCAGCTCCCCTGAGGCAGGCCGCATCATCTGCACTGGCTGCTGTGTGGCTCTGTGGCTTAGGACTCGTGATCAGAAGGTTGTCAGTGATTTTGATCATTTGGCCCTTAACGTTGCTTAATGACCCCATTTGTCATTTGTGTGTCACTTTGGATAAAAGCATTAATAAAATGTAAATAAGTGGCCTGTATGGGTTTTAATGGGGCCTCCCCTTTGCAGCTGATTGGACAGGCATGCTGGGACCGTCTAGGCCTATCACAATTGTTAGATAATCAGCTGTTCGCAATTATTTGACCTGACTGCGATTTATTTTGTATAATCACTAATATCGCCTCCATTCATCTGTAAACTAGCTGGATGAGACAGAACCAGCATATTTCTATGGCTGTTTCCACATAGTTTTCTCCCATATAATGTTTGACTGGCGCTTGTTTAATGACGTCCTGTGTTTGTGCTTCTGAACTGATCCATACCACCTGCCCCATTTACACCTCATTCATCTCCACCAGCCCAGAATGGGATATTAAGCCAGATATTCTGATTTTGGATTTTTGTTTTCTGTCTGTTTAGTAAAAAATGCTGCATAGCACCTATACCTGTGTTTGAGTGCATGTTTATGGGTCAGGTTTTGTACCACAGTCATGGTGGGGTGAGCGTATACCCCGGACAGCTGCCACTCTTATGCTGCAGCAAAGTCACTAGATAATGCCAATAGGACAAACAAATAGAGGAATGTATGTTATTTATTTTTTCCATTTTTTTCCCCTGATCTCACTGCTTTGGCATGATTTAAATATGGGTGAAACAAATGCAAAATACTCCAAACTTCACATTTCAGTTCAGAGTGAATAAAAGCAAACAAAGTTTAGCAAAATATATTTGGTGCTGGACAGCAGCAATTTAAAGTGATGGAAATATAAACGGACGTTTAAGATGTGAGCTATTTAACGTTCATCCAAAAACTGGAAATAGATTACTGGAGTGAGCACTGAAAATCACAAGCAAAGAAAATGGATTATTTCAAGTTAGCAGAACCATTAACACAAGGGGCTTCACAAGGCCGGATTTCTTGCTTAGCTGGATAACTTGTTGGATGTAGGGTATCCCAGTTTAAATGGACTTCATCTATGTTCGCTTATGTTTACCCCAGACTACTCTAATTCCAATAAGTTATCCGGCTTTGTTTGCTGGGAATGTAGACAACATGGTTTGCCATAAAATGGGAGGTTGAACGCATTGGGCAGTGCCAGTTAATGTTACGCGGTGTACGCGTGTTAGAAAATGCTGCGCAGATGTACAAGGTAAAATGGGGTGGGGGGCACCGGCTAGTGACCACACCAGTTGTTTATTTCGAGGCGTTTAACTTCTTATTTGTTTTTTTGTCATCTGCCCTGTACTATTTTTGTTTATAAAGGCAAACAAAAACATATATACAAATACATATATTCCTCTATAGATATATATCTATAAAGTGTCTATATATTATTAAACTATGATTAGGCTAACTCTATAATAGTGCTATAAAATGAAGAGAAAAAGACAAACAAATCGTTAATCGCAATTATTTGTATGGCAGTTAATCATCGACTAAGATTTAATGATTGTGACAGCTGGTATAATCTGTATAATCTGCTGGGAGAGATTGAGATTGAGAATCAGTCATTCCTGTTAGATGTAGCCTCACTAACTCGGCTTTGTGTACCTTTAAGATGCAGTCAGAGATGCGTGTTCTGCTGCGTCAGCCGCTCAGGTGTCTGACTCCTCTCCCCTGCAGGGTTCGGTGGCGATAGCTGGGGCGGTGGTGCAGTGGTTGAAGGATAACCTGGGGATTGTGCAGTCCTCCACCGAGATAGGTGAGCCATGTCCTCTGCCCCATGATATGGAGAGCAGATGAGTCACTGAGTCAACCTCGCTGCACGTTAATGATTGCAGCTGCTGATAATGGCCTCCGATGTGGCTTTAGGTTCTCTGGAAGTGCTGGAGTTCACAGTGTATCGTCCTTGTGATAATTCAGGCTCACTCACACTAGTGTAAAATGCTGACATTGCCCCCGAAACCCCATTTCAGATTATTCACCATCAAACGTGGGTGGGGATTAGCAGCTACATGTAACCATGCGACCCAGAGATCAGCTTCGAGTTCCGCAGCTGGGTTTATGTGTTATAAACGGATCTGAAGTGGTTTCCGTCTTTCTGCCAAACCTGCGGTACAACTAATCGCTCATTGCTGAGGTTGTTGGTCAGTCATAGACCTGGCAAACTTATGCATAATGAACCCCTCCAGGACTGGGCCTTAGGGGGGCACCAGGGGGACTCTGGAGCCCTCAACAGCATGTGTCGTCTTGCTTCTGCTTCCTTTTTTGTCACTTTATAGTATGTGTGTGGAAAAATGAGCATTTCCCTTCTGTAATTAGTCTTTGCTCTCCTCCCCACAGAGAACCTGGCTGCCACTGTTGGGACCTCTTATGGCTGCTACTTCGTACCCGCGTTCTCTGGCTTATACGCCCCCTACTGGGAGCCAAGCGCCCGGGGGTGAGTGTGCCTGTGCTCTGGCATCAGTGTCGGCACCAGTTTAAATGCTGAGGCTAAATGAATGTGTTACCCTTCTGCTGTTTAATCTCTGCTCTTGTGAGTGAGACACACTGTGGTAACAGCGCCTCCCTCTTTC